AGCATTCATCCTTTTTCGGCGAATTTTAAATCGAATTTGCCTGTCAAGCTCCTCTGTAGCGCTAAGCTAACCTTTGTATGTTCGTCTCAAGACGCTGTCAAGATGGCCGAGCTCTGCGACGGCCATCTTGACACGCGTTCGGAAATTCGCTCTGCCGCTCCGAACACGCTCAATCTCATCAGAGTAGTGCCAACAAGCGTCAGAATGAATTTCCGAGCGCTCCCAGGCTGTCGCCTGGCTAATTGAATGTCAATCCCTGCTCAGTTCGACATTAGCTAACATTATAGCCAACTATTAGTTGAGTTATATTAATACAGTACTGAGTTGAAAACACGACTGCAAATTGGTATGTATGTTCCAAAAATTACATTTAATATCATATTGGGATGAAAATGACACCGTCGCTATTTTTGGACACCGGAGGACACCGTATCACGGAAATACCGGCCAACCATAATACGTGTGTGTGTGTGTGTGTGTGTGTGTGTGTGTGTGTGTGTGTGTGTGTGTGTGTTAGCAATGTAGCGATTTTTTTTTTTTTTTTATTGTCTGCTGCATTTATTTATGACGGTGTTGAAAGTGACACTGTTGCTATTTTTAGACACCGGCGGATACCGCACCACTGAAATACCGCCCAACCCGAATGTATGTTGAGAGAGAGAGAGAGCTCTAGATATATATAAATCCCATTGTTAAAATAGTTTAAATTGCATGGGCCAGCACTTGGGTTTCTAAAGGCCCTTGGCGGATTAGTTTGACGTGACAAATCTGAACTCTGATTGGACAACAAAAAAAAAAAAAACCTCCACATGCACAGACAAAAGCTACAAAATGAAGACATTCAACTGCTGATAAGAGCTGAATCCATCTACGTGGAACAAATGCGTGGTTATGACTGTATAGGTCAGTGCTGGTGATGGCGTTTGGGGGCAGCACGGGAGGCTTTGCCGTCTGTGACAGCGCCACCGCTGCGATGAAGTGCCTCCGCATCTGCGCATTGTGTCCGTGAAGTATTGTTTTGGGAGGATAAAGGCTTGGTGTACAGCGGCCAGCTTTCCCTCCCTGACTCTGCTGGCTGGGCTCTAAAGCTACTAAGTAGCAGCTGTCCACCTGGCCAAGGGAAAGCCTTTTAGTGACACACACATACACACACACACACACATTGCTCGCCCTCTTGAGAGGAGAAATGCTCCCTCACTACTTGTGGACACTTCCATTTGTGTGTACGTGTGTGTGCGTGTGGAGGAGAGGCCCAGATGGTCAGGGAGGGGGGAGCGGCGGCCAGTGTCACCAAGTGAGTGAAGGCGGGAAATGGAAAAGAGCGGAGCGACGCGCACGCAGGGTTGGGGGGGCGGGCGAGAGAGTTGGAACCAGAAAGACGAGGGGACGGCGGCCGGGCCTGAGCCAAGGCGCCGGAGCGGGAAGATGACGACACTGAAGCGCGGCGGCCGCGCAACCGCGAAAGAACACACACATGCGTGCACACACACATTTATATGTCATTCGAATCATTCCATGTTAAAATGGAACCGTCCTTGAATCGTATCACACCCTGTGTATCGAGATATGCATGGAATTAGGCACTCGCCTAATCAATATATATTTTTTTTTATATGCTTGTACAGTAGGCCAATATATGCACATGTAAATGTAAAATCAAATATTCAAAAATGAAAATCACCAAATAATGCTCTATATTTAATAAATAAATATATTGTATCTACATACAAAAATAAAATAAATATTTTTCATATTTTTTAATTAAATAGGATTTTTAGGTTTATTAGATTTTTTGGGGGGGGTTTCTTGTGCTCGCAGGATTTTTTTTTTATTTAACATTTATGCATATTTTAAATGTTATTTTATACACCTTTTGCATCAAAAATAAAATTACATATGAATTAAAAAAAAAGGTTTTTGTTTTTTTTTTTGGTTTGTTTGTTTCAAAACTAGGCAAAATTTCAACTGGAGCCAAAATAATTGTAGAAGTGTGACAGGGTTGGGGATAAGCATGGAAAGGAAACTCTTCTATCCAGATGGCGATATTATTATTATTACTCATCCCCCGCCCTCACCCCTCTTCCCCCGCACCCCTTCCAACCTTTAATTCATTTATTTCATGTCACAGTTGCGCTTTGATCGCTCCTCTCCAATTATTAATGCGCTTTCGCCGCACGCTGCTCTTGAAGTCATCGTTCCAGTCTCTCCTTTGATTGCTCCACCTGATGGGAAAAGCTCTCTTCCAACACCCCCACTCGTCCAACCCCAATCCAAGTATGACTTTTTTTTTCTTTTTTTTTTTTTAGGGTTGTTGTGTTGGAACATTTGCACACACACACACACACACACACACACACACACGCACGCACGCACACACATGTACATGGGGTGTATTGTCTGGAGTCTCTCCAGAGGCATTGGCGTGTGTCACTCATCTATTATTGATCAGATGCAACTGCCATCATGGAGTGCACATCATTTAGGGATGTGCCATTCTTCTCACTTGCACTCACAACACACACGCACACGCACACGCACATGCGTGCACGCGCACACTCAAGTCCAATTTTGCTCTAAAGCGAGCTCGTGCTCGCAGTAAGGGCTTTCATAATTGGAGACATTGCCATTGCCACGGCAACGCCAAATGCTCTATTTTAGTTGTCTATACTGCGAACAATATACTTTGTTGCTGATGCTATTCGTTAGCCTGCGTATGGCGTTTTGCATTGTTTGTTAGCATGAAGCTAAATTGACTTATTCAAAGCAAAGCCACGTTTTTTTTTTTTTGTTTATTTTTTTTTTAAACAACTTGGAATTGGATGAGTGGTAGTTTCATGGATTGGGACTGGCATTAAAGAAATTATCATCAGGAGGTCCAAGCTGTGTGACATCACTTGTGCGGCTCCCACAGTGCACATCACTGGACCTCGGGACAGAACTGAGCACTGCTGATGCACTTGTTTGGGTTGACGAGCTGCACCAGCGTGAGACGGGAGGGACGTATCGCCCACTCAACACCCACCCACACGCTCGCTCTCCTCTTTTTCTTTTTTTTCCTTTTTTTTTTTTTTTTATCCAAATGCAAGTCACCGTGAAAAATGTGCTGGTCCAATATTTGCACAGAAGTGGTGCTGGGACAGACAGATAACCTATCAGTATTTGAGTTTGGCTTCCCATGCTCCAAATAGCCATCCTCCGCCTGTTTAGCTTATTGATTGGCTTGGCAAGAAACTAGGTCCCCTCAGCAGTGACCAAGGTCATACAACACATGGACTCTGTGCCACCCATACAACACCCCCCCCCACCCCACCACCACCACCCAAAGCCCCTCTTAACACCCACCCGCCCACTTTGCTCTTCCTCCCGCTCATTTCACATACTCGTCGCACTCACTCAATGATCCAAAACCACAAACGGAGTGTGAAGACATCTTGGAGGATCGTGGTTGATATTTCTAACTTGTTTTTTTAGTGCGCGTCTATGTGTGTGTGCGTGTGCGTGCAAGTGTGTGTGATGACTCAGGGGTACGCACCAGAGGCGGCGTCCTCGGCTCTCGTGTGGGAATCAATGAGATTGAATTCTGAAGGTTTTCTCAGGGGCATAAGCCCTGCCTGTCAATAGTGCTCTATGTCACAAGTGCATCACAAGTGCAAAGCTCTTGTCCTTCATTAAAAAAAAAAAAAAAAACTCCCACCCCAGTCAACAAAGCAGATTACAAAACCCGGGCCAGATTGGATCGAGTCGAGTCTTATAAAAAAAATTAATAATAATAATTGTAGAAGTTTTTCAAGATTTTTTTATTTTTATTTTTTTGGAAGGGGGGATTTGAACAAAATATTTCAAAATAAATTCAGGGAAAAGAAAAAAAAAATCTACAAACATTAGTGATGGGATTTTCGGCTCTTTTCGGTGATCCGGTTCATTTGGATCGGCTCAGTGAAAAGAGACGGCGGCTCTTTTTGGCTCTCAAACGGCTCTTTTAACTTTCGCTTTTCTTTGAAACATTTATGACAAATTTAGCATACATTTTGATAAATGACTCGGTGAACTAAATATTGCACTCTACTGACTGCAAATAGCAACAATGATCAAACAAAGAAATGGCTTTTTACTTATTTTATTGAACATTAAAAAGGCTCCAAACAATAAACAACCAGCCAAATTAAACTTCAACCAGCAACAATCAAACATGCTGCATCACAACAAAAATAGTGAGTATTAACTGCAACAGCAGCAGTGAACAAAACAAACATAAGCTACTCCTTGCTTTATTTTAAATTTGCAGTCAACAAAACGAAATACTTCAACTTGGAATACTTCAATTTGTCCAGTCTTTGAGACCACCCTCTCTGAGGGGACAGAAGTTGCTACAATGCACAATCTACTCTCCATTTACGTTGATCAAACGGGGGTAGACGGGAGCTCGGTATTTCCACCAACTCAGTGGATCAGCTGCCCTTGAAATCTGCGGTTCTTCAAGATATGCCCTAATTTAGTGCTTTGTGTTTTTGCACGCTTGGCTAATACTTTAAATTAGATTCAGATTGCTTGCCAAACTCATTTGTGGTTTCCCGGACAGTAGGGGGCGATATGAACTAAAGACATCCAATTCACCAAGAAGAAGAAGAAGTACAAGCACAAGAACGGTACCACATCCGGTTCAATGAGCAAGTTTTTCCGCCGTCCACAAGCCCTGTTCTCAGTGAGTAATTTTAACATTTTAAACTGACTTCGCAGTTTATCTCTGAGTGTATAGATGCAGACAATTGGGGAGAGTTATTACGACACGTTGCTCCTTTAATTTTGTTGTTGTGACTCAACGTAAAAAACGTCGTCAGCAAAAGGGGGGCAGTGAGCGAGCACGCCGCCGACAAGTAGACCTCAGCCGTCAATCAAAAAGCAATCGCGAACAGCGTTTGACTTGAATACTATTCTGTATGTTTTCCACACCAAAGCTGCTATCAGCAGTGGGAGGGTGATGGATGGCTTCACATCATGGGGGGGGCGGATTTGTTTCAAAACTATTCCCACAAATGCACCCGTGACTTTGTTCATTTGTTTTTCGAAAGGAGGTTGCCCATTGTACTTTAGGTGTGGATCGCTCAAACAGATGCATTGCGAGCGCGGGCACGTTTGGAAATGGACGGGTTGAAAGTTAAAGTCTGCCACTTTACGAATAATGACTCAAATTAAAAAGAAAAAAAAGAAACAACCTTTTTTTATGGACGACAATGGGTGACTTTCCACTTTTGTTTTGTTTTTCTGCCTGACCAGATTAGTCAGATTACTGGGCCAAAGGCCCAGCCGCCAGACTCGGAGGACATGCGGAAGGGACGCCAACCTGCATTTGGACACGCGTGACGACTGAGCTGTGTGGCGTGCTTGAAGAGCTGATGTCTGATGTCACGTTGCACCACAAGGTGGAGGTGAGTGTGCCCGCCTGTCTGTCTCTCACTCAACTTAAACTTCTGCTTCGTGTACTGCACAACAGTGTCAACTCCACATGGACAACCCGAGCATCATCAAGCACTTCTGGAATATGTTTTTAAACCTTGAAGTGGACCAAGTTAGTTTAAAAATGTGTCTATGTATGCATATATAATATATACATACATATGACTAACTTGGCCCACTTCAATGTCATTTAAAAACTTGACCAGAAGAGTGTGATCATGTTGTTGTGGAGTACACGGCAATGAGATGTCAGTGACATCACGCATGAGCTGGTAAAGCACATGCTCCCATCTCAGGCCTGTCGTCAGTGTTTGTGTGCGTGCAACTTGAACTGGCCCGCACAAAGATTGACTGGTCAAATGCTTTTACATTGTCATGTTCGCTTTTCTGTCCAATAACTTGTTCAACTCACTCGAAGCCTTTTCAAAGACTGAAGTCATGAGCTCAGACTTGCGCTTCAGTCACATCAGACAGTCTTTTCACTGTTCCCGTTGGTCTCCACATGACTCGAAACTCCAGGAATCGAGCTTTTGGGTCATGTGAAACCGACGGGAACAGTGAAAAGACTGTCTGATGTGACCCAAGTGCAAGTCTGAGCTCAAGACTCAAGTGGGACTTTGAAAAAGTGCTGCAATGCCCGCCCCAAACCACACCCAATTTGACATCCACCAATTGCGGTGAGGCCCCTCATTTGCATAACCCGAACCCTAAATTGCATACCCATGCCCACTTTCCAAGTTCTGACCAATCAGATTGCTCCAAAATTGCATAACCACGCCCCCAAAGAGCCCGTCAATCAGAGAATGCCTAATTTGCATAACAACTCCCCCTTTCCACGAATCACAGCATGTTGTCGTCATTTTCCACCCACTTTCACAGCTATCAGCGAATCATCAGCCATCATTCCAGCCAGGCCACACCCACTTTCCTGGATTTTTCTGCCTGGAAAAAAAAAATTTGGGGAAAAAAATTTTGAAAAAAAATTCAAAAAAAAAAGTTTAGAAAAAAACTGAAAATAATTTTGTTCAATTTTTTAAAAAAAAATTTAAAGTTAGATTGTGGTGATGTGTTTAAAAATGAAGTTGAGTTGAAGTGTTCTTTGTAATCAAGATTTATTTCTTTTGCAGAGTAGACAATCACAAAAGCAGAGGAAAAAGTTGCAAGTTGGATGGCGGTCTGCTTGTTGCTGGGCGGCGAAGTGGTCAGCTCTTGAGAAGAACGTGGGACAGGTGTGTTGACCTGAGAGGAAAGGCATCCGTGAGTTACACGCAAGTCACTTTCTTGTGCAAAGATGTGTTGGGCATGAAACTTACCCAGGAAGATATACTGTTGGGTCTTTCGAGAGCAGGAAGCCGATCATGTTTACTGCTGCCTGGGGGAGAAAAAAAAAGTCAAAAAAGTAGTCATGATGGTGCATTGAACGAGTGTAAATGTCTCCGACTTTTCAGGCTGGCCCAAAGTTTGACTTCAGCACCTTGCGAATAACGGGAAGAAGAGCTAAAAGTGTTGCCTGCAGGTCTGTGCTCGTAGGTGGACTCTGGCGGTGAGCACGTTACTCCATGTTGTGGCACGGAGGACCCAAGAACAATCTTCCTTCAACTCTGAATAATGAAATGAGACTTGTTGAAATGAGACTTCTTACCAGCTCTGTTTGCCTGATCACCACGCAAGGTCTTTTACCATTCGGCCATTCTGCTGCGAAAATTTCGAAATTTTTATATGCAGTCAAAGGCAGCCGACCACACGAGGTTTTGAAGGTTAAAAAAAAGAACATAATTGGTGAGATGGTTGGCGATGTGACAGCACTCCAACCTCACCCATAACCCATCGACCACGGCAGTATTTCCTACTGCCTGCCTTCAGAATGCTATCCTGAGATCAGGATAGTTTGCAAAGCCAACTTCGTTTTCGATTGAAGACGTGTTGCACAAAGAGATCGTGTCGTTCTGTCATTTTGCTTTCTTGGCCAGGGGTGTCAAACTCATTTCACATTGTGGGCCACATAGGGCCTCGGTTGATGTCAAGTGGGCCGGACCATTAAAAATGAGACCAGACTCTGCTATAAATAACCAAAATAATATGTCTTTCCTTTGTTTTGGTCTAAAGATGCACAAGAACACTAGGAAAAGGAAGAAATTTACTGAACATATCTTTTACAAAACATTTCATGAAGCACCTAAGATTTCCTTCGACAAATGTGCAATGTACTTTTGTCATTCACATATATGCATTGCAACTGATCCCACTGACTGTACAAAGGCACAAAACCTGAACAAGTAATTGGTCTTGAAAAATATAGTCATGCACTTTTAAGATTAAACGAGATTTATGAAGAAAGGAATTTTTAAACCATTTCCACGACCACATGAAATCGAAATGTAATCCCTGCCTACACCTTACAAACTAAGGAGAGTGCTATAATATGTGTAAAGAATAAAGTATTCACATGTCCTTGATAGTGTCTGCTGTGTTGAGCCTGTCTCAGTGACAGACTTAGGCTGCTGTTGTCGTCTTCTCTGATCAAAACAATGTTGTCTTTTCCTCTAATCAAAACAGTGTCTCCACCTAGCGGATATTCCACGAATTGCACCTTATTAAAAATATTCGATGCGTGTCTTTTGTGCATTTTTTCACTTTTAAATTATCCTGCGGGCCTGATAAAACCTCTTTGTGGGCCGGTTCCGGCCAAATGTTATACACCCCTGATGAATAGTAAGGTGTTTTTAGCCGAAAAAAACGACCATGTATGGTAAGGCGTTTTAACCCGAAAATAACGACCATGTACAGGAAGGCGTTTTTAGCCGAAAAAAAGGACCATGTATAGACAGGCGTTTTTAGACGAAAAAAACGACCATTTATAGGAAGGCGTTTTTCGAGGAAAAAAACGACCACGTATAGGAAGGTGTTTTTAGCCGAAAAAAACAACCACGAATAGGAAGGCGTTTTTAGGCGAAAAAAACGACCATGTATATGTAGTAAGGCGTTTTAACCCGAAAAAAAACGACCATTTATAGAAAGGCGTTTTTAACCCCCAAAAAACGACCATGGATAGTAAGGTGTTTTTTACAGACAAAAAAACGACCATGTATCGTAAGCCGTTTTTAGCCCAAAAAAACGACCATGTATAATATGGCGTTTTTAGCCCATAAAAACGACCATGTTAGTAAGGCGTTTTTAGCCCCCAAAAAATGACCATGTATAATATGGCGTTTTTAGCCCATAAAAACGACCATGTATAGTAAGGCGTTTTTAGCCCCCAAAAAATGACCATGTATAGTAAGGCGTTTTTAGCCCAAAAAAACGACCTTTATAGGAAGGCGTTCTTTGTCGAAAAAAACGACCATGTATAGTAAGGCGTTTCTAGCCCCCAAAAAATGACCATGTATAGTAGGGCGTTTTTAGCCCATAAAAACGACCATGTATAGTAAGGCGTTTTGAGCCCAAAAAAACGACCATGTATACTAAGGCGTTTTTAGCCCAAAAAAACGACCATGTATAGACAGGCGTTTTTAGACGAAAAAAAACGACCATGTATAGGAAGGCGTTTTTAGCCGAAAAAAAAACGACCATGTATAGTAAGGTGTTTTTAGACGAAAAAAAGGACCATGTACCGAAAGGCGTTTTTCGAGGAAAAAAACGACCATGTATAGTCGCGCGTTTTTAGTCGAAAAAAAACGACCATGTATACGAAGGCGTTTTT